TGAGAGGACCGCTCTTAGCAAGAGTGGCACTTAATCTTTCACAAAAAGTACCCAAAAAAGTTAAAACGTGAGGTATTTGGTTACAGTTGAACTAATTGATGGAACTTTCATTCATTTAATATCTGAATTTTCTCAAACAATTTGTTCGTAGTGAAAGAGCGAGAAAAGTTTTAATTTCAGCTCTACAACGAATATACGTTCTCGGTGAGTCTTTCCAAGTCCGTTCAGTTTGGACATTTGCACCGTAATTTGCACGAAAGAAACTGAAGGAATTCAATGAAAAAAGGCCGCATTAAATCTCCTTATGTCCCGTTGCAGTGTATCATCCGAATTTAGGTTTTGTGGAGGAAAGACCAGATTTACACACGCCATTGTAGAAAACAAACGAGCAAACTCTCACAACTTAAAAATAAAAATTTTGAATTTACTTACAGTTACTTTCCTCGCCGTTTACTTAATGAACAGAGGCAAATCTTCATACATGAATTAGTCGTCGATGAGAGTGAATAATGCTTTCTGTAAGATCATTGACTGTTTTTGAAGAAAACATCAAGGTGACAGTCCTCGCCAAAGAGGAAAAGTACTTTGACCTATGATCTTGGACGATCAGTTTAATTTTTTCGATGTTTATTGCAGCGAGGTAAAATATCATGAACGCAAGAAAGGTTCACTCTATCACGAGCTATCTAAACTTAGTCATACAGTATTTTATTGAGAAAACACGTCAACGAGCGGACTTATTTGCCCTACTTCGTGCTAGTTTAGCCATTGATAAGTAAATACATATTGCTGTAAAACAAAGCAATCATATTCAAAAGTTGAGCGAATCACGAAGAAACGAATGTTAATTAGAATACAGTACAGTGGATTCTATTGCGCCGTCAAATGCGACGCGAAGTGGAAAGTCCTATTGATAAAGGGGCTAATATGAGTTTTTGGTGTTTTGTTGGTAGGGCCAATACAAAATAATTTGGATTTATCCAATGAGCTGATGATGTGAATTGTACACCGTAAAGACACTACAAAGCCGACGTTTCGAGCGCTGGCCTTTCGTCAGAACAAATGACAAAGGGCAAACGCTTGATAGGTCAGCGTTATGATGTCTCTCTGAAAGTCTTATTACCCTTGGAAATTAGAAGTAATATCCAAGTTTGGTTTTGTTTTGGCATCAGGTCAGAGTGGTGACGTCATGAAAAACAACTGGAAACTATTCCTTTCATGTGCTTTGATCCTGGTTATTCTACAGCCTCTCTTTGGCCTCCCCGCCCTAAAACGGAAACGTCAGAAATATAAAGTTTTAATCCTCGGAGCCGGTTCTGCTGGCATTACAGCTGCTAAAACGTTGTACGATAGAGGCATCAGGAACTTCCTCGTGTTAGAGGCTCAGGATTACATTGGAGGGCGAATGAAGTCAGTGCACTTTGCTGGTATGAAGATAGAGGAAGGAGCCAACTGGATTCACTACGTGGAAGAGAAGGACAATCCCCTTAATCGATTGAACAAAAAGTACAACTTGACGGGACATCTGTCCAATTATAGTGATTTCTGTATGCGGTAAGTTGACTCATATTTATAATCATTATCATCACTATTCACATTATTTCCGATTCCAGACACTAGTGTCTGGTACTGTCTGTTAGGTTTCCATCACAATGGCTCGTGTATCTTCTTAGTGGCCTTTCTCGCCCAGTCGTCCAACCAAAGACAGCTCACTTCCATACTCAGCACCTTCTTCGCCATGTAATCTATTTGCACGTCGTTTGACTCATACATCGGTTTGAGTTCCATCCGTGGGTACCACGGATGAACATAGTCGGCAAACTTGACGTCCCTCAGTACTTCAAAGAACAGCACTTTTGGTGCAGCGTTTTTATTGTTCACATATTTGGAGTGCGTCAGCGATGAACGGCCCGGCAACACGCGAGCATGGCTTTCTGGTTCCTTTTCGCATATTCTGCACATGGCGCTTACTTGTTATGACGTAATCGTCCTAGAGGCCAGGAAAAACTTGGATTGGCGAGAACTATTCGTAAGGCTCGATTGCGCTTGTCATGGCTTGCGTCAGAGTGTACGCTCAATCGCTCGATCTCAAGCTCGATCAGCCACGTGTATCCAGCTGGCTATTATATTATCGACAATATTATTATCATCATCATCATTTTTTATATCATTCACAAATTTTTCCGTTACAGCCCTTTCCCAGTTATCTCGGCCAAAATACTTATTATTGCAATAAATCAATGTCAATGATCAAATCATTTTCTTGCACAGAGATGACTTTGGGAACGACATCACTAATTTGAAAACGTTCCATCTGTGGGAGAAAGTTCGTGACGAACTGTTTGCAGAGGGGGAAAAAAGGGATGAATCGGACTCCCCACCCAGAGACATGCCTGCCTCTGTTTACCTGAAGATGCGCGGATGGCGTTCAGATTCCCCGGTGAAGAGGACCTTCTCCTGGTTCGACATTGATTTCGAGTACGGTGGAGATGAAACCGTTACATCCCTTAATAACATGGGTTTTCCGGGAGAAGATTTCTTTATCACTGACCAGAGAGGATACTGGACCCTCTTCAGTGACTTTTATATGCGGTTTAGGGAGAAGATTTTGCTAAATAAGCCTGTTACCAAGATCTACTACTCTGATAACAGCGTTACAGCCACCACAGCCGATGGAGATGAGTTTATTGCAGACTACGCCCTGTCAACCTTCAGTTCTGGAGTGCTGGGCAGTGGCTTAGTTGAGTTTGACCCTCCTTTCCCCAAATGGAAGTTGGAAGTAATATATCGTTTCCGTCCAGTTTACTTCACTAAGATTTTTCTTAAGTTTCCGCGAGATTTCTGGGATGATCACGAGTGGATTATGCACGCTGGCAAGAAAAAGGGCGAGTTTCCAACTTTCTATGACCTAGATCGACCTGGTTTCTTCCCTGGCACGGGTGTTTTGTTTACATCGGTGACTGGTGATGAATCACTCAGAATTGAGGCGCAAGACAATTCCAAAACGATGATAGAAGTGATGGCCACTCTGAGGAAAATTTACGGCGAAAACATTCCTAACGCTACAGGTGAGCTGGGTGTATTTTATCATTTTGGTTAGTAATCTTTGTATGACTTGATTCTGATCGGCTAGTAAGATATGTTCCGTAGACAAAATGAAAGAAGGTATAGGAGAACAGTCAGGATGTTTTTGGAACATGTCGATTCTATTTCATTTTTTTTGTTTGTTTCAAGTGGAAAATGAAGTCTGTTTTCCAAGACGTCCACACCGTGAATTCTTGCTAATTTCCCTCCACTTTTGGAGAGTCGTTTTAGTTGTTTAAACTAATCTACGCCAGTTACATCATGAGAGGGAAATTTCTGTCGTTGAATGAGTAAAGACTATTTTATGCTTACAGTATCTGCTTGTAACTCAACTGACCCATCTTCCTCCTTTAAAAATTTCTTTGTTAGACATCCATGTCAGCAAGTGGTCACAGAATCCATATGTGAGGGCAGCTTGGACAGATCCAGTAGTCGGCACAAGTTGGGGTCACTATGAGAACATGGCTGGTCGGCTTGGCAATCTCTTCTTTGCTGGGGAGAGCACCAGCTCTGAGTGGATGGGGTTCGTTCAGGGTGGATACTTCACTGGACAAGCTAAGGCCAAGGAGATAATCAGCTGTCTGAAGGGAAAGAAGTGTAAGCCATACAGAAAAGCGAAGAAATATGTTAAGTGAGACGTAACAACAGGGAGTGACTGAGAATGTTTGTAAACGTGTGCTGGTGACCCTCAAATAAAAGGATTTCACTCCATTTGTGTAACATGTCTGTCTGACGATGATGCTTCTCAACAGAGCAGTTTTAGATTGGCTTTGGTCGCTCCCGCCCTTCCCCCCCCCCCTCCCCTCTCCTCCGCTCTCTCCACAAATCAAATTCTTAAATGAATGAGAGTCACTTTTAGTTTTCTTGCGTTTGTTTGTTTTGCTAATTCTAGACTTGGAATATTTTCTTTTGTTTTCATTGGTTGTTAGCGTGGCATCATTCTTTTTTTTTTCTGGTTTCGTGACATTTATTCAAACTGCGCGTTAAGAATTCAAACTTGGTTATTTACAAGATGATAAGCAAACAACACGAACCCAGTTGACGCCATTGGAATACTCGCTCCCTTTGGAAATATTGCAAAATCTTTCATCTTAGCCAGTTTTCTTTTGAAATGCGATCAATGTTGAAAGTAAATTAACTTTCCTCTGATATATTTAATCATAGCAATATCTTTATCAGAACGGATCACATTAATCCTTTACACCCTAACATCAGTATGTATATTCTCCATACGGTTTTTTATACATTTCCAAAGGTGCTGTGAAGGAGAATTTGTTTAACAATCAAGTGCTTCTTTAGTCAGTGATCGTTTCCTCTTTTCTCGTGACCTTAATGTTTGATTCAGGGGTGATATTGTGAGGAGAAATTAGATGTATATCACTGTTGGGGGTCAAAGGAGGGTCAAGAGTTTCAATTTTTTATACAGGCTTTATTTTTTAGGTGATTCCTACCAAGTTAGTTTTCCACTTTAATGTGCACAGCAACAATGTAGTATCATGATTATAAACTACTTCGACGTGTAGAACAATGACGCTTTTGTCGGAAAGGACTTTTAACTGTTTCTTTTTTGAGAGCTTTTTCCCTCGAAGAATGGTGGGAGAAAGTGGATGGTTTTATGCTGTTAGCTGTCCTTAACTCATGTCGAAGAAATTCCGGGGTGTTTTGCTCCGGGTGGCGAAGAATGATAAAAAGTTTTGGTGCAAAAATGCAGGCAAGCAAAGCGTACGAATTAACCAGGGCAGTTGAACATGATACCACAGCCACATACCACCCTCCTAAGGAAGTCTGTACAGGAAAGAACGCAATCCACGATAGCAGAAGGATATACATTGCAAAACCAATACAGCGAGCTTCGTTGAAGTTCTCGGGAAGAGTGCGAGCTTTAAAAGCGTAGAACGCACAAACAAGGCAAATAAATAAAAGATAAGTGAGCATAGCTATCTCCATGAACTGACCTAGACTCGTTCGGTAAGGAATACACGTAATTATTACAAATTGTCCTTTTTCGATTTCAGTCTTTGTGAAAGGAGGATCCACTGCACCCCAGATAATTGCAAATATAACTTGAATCGAGTTTAACGAAATAACGGACACAAACTGCCCCAGCGAGCTGGCGCTGCTCTTTTTCAACCATCTTGCAACGTAAGTTATTTGAAAAGCTCTTAGTAGTTTCATGGTCTTTACTAATAGAACGGAGACACTCAGTGATGATGTTATATAGCGCCAGGGTTCAATAACGGCGCAAATGGCCGGAGAGGGCTGCGAAATTGTCAACAATGGTAAAACAAATCCCGCGGCAATGTCGGAAAGCAAAATAAAACTCAGATCACGATTAGCAGCCTTTACAACTGGAGTGTGATAATGCCGCATGAAAAGAACCGTTGTAAGGAATGTAAAAACAAATCCCAAGATGGTAAAAATAGCGAAGATGATTCCAGTCATGCTATTCCAATGGAGATTTTCTATTGGTAGATCTACACATGTGGTTCTATTTTCATTTGACTTCTGCGTCCCAGAACACTTTGTACAGTTTGGTGATCCTTTGTGCGCATTTACCGCTCCATCAGGGCATTCAATGCATTGCCAACAACAAGAAACCGTCGTTGTTTGTCGTGTTCCAGGTGGACACGGCTCCAGGCATATTGATTTTGGAATTTCGGATGTTTGACTGTTCAAAGTGCTGTTTCCATTGCTCCATTTAATTAAACTGCCATTAATTTCTAACATCGGATTTCCTTTAGCCTCCCAAAAACCTATTTTCATTTTGACATAGTTGCCATCAATATTCCTCTGAAAGCTGACAAAGTCATACACGGCTTGCAGAGGGTCGCCATTTTCGTCAAATCCAATTCGACCTGTTATTCCTTGAAAACTCACATTACGCAGGTACAAAAAAACGTCTGAAGATCGCACGAAAGGTTTTGTTTGAGGACAAGCTCCGTTTGGTAACAAACCGAGTGGTGTCTTGCATTTGTAGATCATATCAAGTGCGTGCGCGACTGCGTAAATAGCGTCAATTTGATATGGAATAAAGTCATCGGACATCTTGGAAAATACTTCATCAGTTATTGTTAAATTATCCTGACAACGCGTGTAACCCTGGATGTTATTATTTGTAGAGCAGTTGAATTCTTTCCTCCAGATAATATCAAACCAAGGATTTATGTTCCTCCTTTCATAAGACGTTTTTGTGGTGAGATGTTTAAGATACTCCTCGAAGTTTCTGTCTTGAAATTGCTTCGGTTGAATTCCTAAGTAAATTCCAAGGCTCATCAAATCGTTTCCGAGATATTCTGGAGTTTTAGTAGCCAATGAGTCGCTCATGATCCAAACTTTTCCGATGAGATTTTGACTGAGCGCTTCTTTTGCCAGATCCTTGGCGTGTGTTGCTCCGATCCACAAGATTATGACTTTGATGTTCTCTGCCCGTTTAAGTTTTGCAATAACAGGTTTTAACTGACTATCATATTGAGTTGGTGTGATGTATTCCACTAATCCAATACAAAAAGTCTGTCGTCGAAAAGATTCTTGCTCAAGCGCACGAAAACCGTACAGTCCGTACGAATGTTCCACAGCGATCACCGCTACGTATTTCCAGCTGAAGTGTTCAATAAGATCCGCCATTGCCCTTGCTTGAAAACCATCCGGAGGAACTGTTCGTAAGAACTTTTTATAAAAGGACCAGCTGAGTTCTGCGCTTGTTGCCGACGGGCTTATAGCCGAAATGTTCACAACTTGAAGAAGTCCTGCAACTTGAAGTGAGTTCCGTGAACCGTAGGGCCCGACTATGGCAGCAATTGGTAATGTTGTGTTCCTTTTAGAGATAGAGCATTGCGCACAAGCGCTGGAATTGCCGACAGGGTGGCCATTGGAGTCTTCGACTATTTCCAAGAAATGGATGTGTGTGCTGAAATCGTAAGTATGTTCCATTGCTTTTGCTCTGTCCATGCAATGATCTCGAATATCATAACCAAGTTGAACATTCGGGAGGATATTTACGTTTTTGTTAATTTGCTCAATAGTGAATATCGCAGCCTCGACGCGTATTATTCCAACGAGATGTACGTTTCGGCAACCTTCTTCCGAATTCTCCTGATGTGCGGCCAGAAGGCTTCCAATAATCACGTCGCCATTTTTGAAAATCCTGTCAATTGTTTCTTGTAAGTTTGTCAAAGGATACATCACGTATAAAAGGCAAAACGCGAAAACCAGTCGTGAAAAACCAGCCATAATTAATCGTCCCCTCCTCGATACTTATTTTTACTTATTAAATTGTTGAGCTAAAATCGCCAATATTGAGCCAAAAAAGCAAACAGACTGTGATACCCTTGACATTTTTCTGACAAATTTCAGTAATTAGCATTTCTATCTTGCTTATATTTTGAAAAACTGTTTGCTGGTTTTACAAGAGAAAGGGGAAATTAGTTTTCAATATAGCACCTTGCTGTCTTCATTTGCAATTTATAAATGAAAAAAAGGTATTGTTATCATCTTTGAAATCGGCTAGTTCGTCATGACAAGTCAATCCGAGCGGGCAAAAAACATTATAATAATCTATGTTTTCGATGAAAAAAGAGGAATCGGCTGAGCAATTATCATTAACGCTTCCATTTATGTTTACATAAAAAAATAACTTGTCTGCTTGGAATGGAATAAAAAGAAGTGAAGATAATGTTTCATGTAGCGCCAAAAATAGAAAACTTACCTTTGTGACTTAAAATGAAGTATTAGTGTGCTAAACCTGACATGATAGTTTTAAAAGAGAATTAAAGGTATTTCGAAGCAGAAAACTTGTGATGCAATATAAAAGGAATCAGAGAAAAAATCGTGAATAGAATCCAGGCAAATATATTTAAACTTAAATTTCCGCTCAAGGGTTCAATGTTTTATTAATCAGTTATTAGATTACTACAAACAATGTATGAATTATATCGTATTTTGACTTGAACGACGGATAGATCGTGTGAGGTAAACTTAAATTATAGAAATTTAAGCCGGAAAGTAAAATTAGGCTTCGAAAAGGAGCTCAATTGAGCGCGATCCTTTCAGTGATTGGGCACTGGTGCCTGCTGGGCTACGCGGCCACATGTTGGGAGCGAGGAGAATTTCATTCAAATTTAACAATTTTCAATTTTTTTTCCCCATATCAATAAACTTCTGCTGCCCTTTCATTTGGTTGAATTTCTTACCAATCACGAATAACATGACCGATAACTGCGTGCTTTACGCTATACGCTTTTTTTTTTTTTTCAATCAGCCAATGAGTTTGTTAAAATGCGTTCAATTACTCGGAGGCAATTTGGCAGGAAAGTAATCAGTTAATATTTAATGTAAAAAGCTGTTTTTCATTACAATGATGGGCGATGATAGCATGCCATAGAAATACTTGATAACTAAGTCCTATATTTTCCTGTACAACAAAAAAAACTTCTGATAGCATCATTCAAGATCTAAATCGAAAACCATTCAAAACAAAAATAATTGCTCGCGTCTCATATCTTGTTTGCTCTTATTTCCATACGCGATTAGCACACGATATTTTGAAAACGATGCCAGATTTTTAATGGCGGGATCTCGCCTTAAAATTTGATCAATTTATTTTTGCTTTCACATTTTCTCCTTTTTGAATTTAGCAGGAATTTTCCCTCAGTAAAATTAAAATATATGCCAACTTCGAGTGCACTATCAAGAACAGCTTGAATAGCTAAGTAAGCGTAGTGAATATTATTGTGGTGATATCGAAAGAAATCATACAAATACAGTCGCCAACGCTGAAGTGCTCCTGGGAAGGACGAGTTGTTTCGCATCTTTGGCTGCAAAGTCTTTTTCCTATGACAGAAACAGCCATCAAAAACAAAAACAACCGAAACAGAACATGTGTTCTGACCTCTTCCAAACCGGAGAGAGAAACTTAAGCTATTCAGTTTTTTACAACAACTGACTGAGGGAGATGAGATGAGAGCTGGGGAGAGCTAAAAAGTGCTAATCTTCTCAGCGCTCTAGAGCGCGAGTTAATTAAGAACTAATGTTTACTGAAAACGGAGATCAGCCATGGTTATCAAGCTGAATAAATAAGCAAGAAATCGGTGTTTTGTTTAGTAAACATATGGAAGGCGTCTGCAAAATGGCAGTGACTGTGGTGAAATAGGCTTAATTGAAAATTTATAAGGTGTTCTGAATATTTTGGAGCATATATTTGCCGCGAGTCCTTCCTTAAGGTTTTTCTGGATTTTCTCTCTCTATTGTCCGATCAGGACACGGTGAATGAGAGGAATCGGTCCATGGATGTCCACTACCAAACTACAACTTATTTGTTTTATCAAACTGAGTTTCAGATCACTGTTTTTGAGCGAATGAGAGTTGTCAGGGTTACAGGCAAAAAGACAATCGACGAGCAAGGGTTTTAAACTTTTCCAACACTCGACTCAAGTAGAACTGACCATACCCAAATAGATCGAAATTCTTGACCAACCGCCTCCCAAAAAACTTGGAATGCTTCTTTAGTGAGAGGAATTCCTGACTTATCTTGAACTTTTCCAATATACCAAGACTTTCACTTCGAGCAATGACTGCCGGACAAACAACAAAGTGAAACTGAAACAATAGGGTACGAAAGCTTCCTTGCGTGTTTGGTTTACTTGCCCCCACTTAAAACCAGCCGGCAAAGTCAAATATAATTTTTTTAGAGGCTGGTGTCAAAGTCTCTTATAAAACATTTTACTAAAACGCAATCGAAACTCTCGATCATTCACACTTCGGTTGCTATTCGCGAATTCAGTAATTTGTTTAACTTTCTTTTTCGCTTATTACCAGATGGGTCCCCATGTCCAACATGTGCTTTATAAACTTGTCATACAAAATAATCAGTCGGTGAGAACAGAGTTTAATATGATGACTTTTAAAGTTCAACCGATCAAACATGTCTTATATATCTATCCGAACTACTAAAACTTCTGATGGTTTTAATGTCAACTTAACATGTACAAATACGTTATGCAAAACTTAATCGAGGGTTGAACGCCCCCTAAAAGGTCGAAACTTCGCGATGTGATTACGATGTATTTAATGCCACCTATCGTTTTATTATTCTCACAGCCAAAATACAACCCTCAATAGACGAAAAATCGGTTGTTGATGGTAACCTCAATAACTCACTGGAATGTGTCACTGTACGAATAAATCAAACGCATAAATCTTGACAACCATTGACAACGTACATAAATAATACGTTTTAGAAGAGATAAAGGAGCAGATAAAGAGCAACCTTCAGTTAAGTGACCACGATGGCGAACAATACTTTAAGGTCAGCCTTGTTCACTTTAACTGTCATTGCAATTTCTTTTGTCGTTCTGTACGTAGGTTGGATTAACTTGATAACTATGCGTATTCAAGGTAAGATACATTTTAATCTTCCTTCGATTAAAGAGCTCGAACATTATTAATGTGATTTCAGTGAAATTCTTGGCCAAAAACTGAAAAAAATTTAGTTAGCCTTGATCGGGCTTTTACTGAATTTGTTTCGAGATGAAGTCGGCACATGTAGTGTGTACTTATCAAAACGTTTTACTGATCAATTTATAGTGGACCCTCAAAACAATTATACTCTGTGAAAGTGAGAATGTATAGTTTATATCCACTCAACAGAAATTCAAAAGCAATAAATATGAAACCTTAACAAAGGAGTTTAATGGGAATTTTAGACAAGATTGTTTTTTGTAGCGGAGCCTTTTTTAATTACCATCCGGCACGCAAAGAACAATTTAAAAAAAAACGGACTGTAGTTCCTGTAAAATATATTAACTTTGACATTGACTTTTAAGTCAGATCTTGTTGTTGTTTAGATCTTGCCTCTCACATACACAAAAGCACCAAAAAATTATCATAAGAGTTAGAAGGTTATTTTTTAAGCTGCTAAACAATAATGTTAACTTTTACGTTACGTTAACCTTAAAGTCAGACTGATAAAGCGAAAGATCTTCATCTTGTTTATGTCCTGCCTCTCATATATGCACAGAATAGAAAGTAGGATTAGGAAGGTAACGTTTTAAGCTGCTGAAGAATACATTTGTGTGACACAAGTTGACTAGACAAGGAATGGAAAAGAGAGCATGAAATGAATAATTAGCAGAACGAACATTGCCTGTGGCTAAATGAATGTTAATAAGATCGTAAATTTAATTGCAAGCTGATTTATATAACTCTCTGTTAACCAGCAGCCCAAACGAGACCAAATTATCTTGTAACAACCCTCACCGACGCAACACCCAGTTTCTTTGACAACTTAATTTTTTTTTCAACATTTTTACGATTGTAAATTTTTTTCTAAGGTTTACACAATCGCACAGAATGGACCGTAATCAGAAGTAGAATGGTTCAGGTTTGGTTTTTCTTATTACTTTTTCAAATTGATGTAATTGATAACTTACCTCGGAGGTCCACCCACATTGCACACAAGAATCCAGAGAAAGACTAAAATTAGGGGCAGCATAAACTGATCGACTGTAAGTTATGTTAGCAGACGATTCAGCACTGTCATTGGCATCGCTAGCAAAGTAATTTTAACCCTACATTGTAAAAAATAGTAGATTGAGTAAGTTATACATTTTTTGCAAGCAATTATTCACATCGCAACGAATTAACACCGCGAGATGAGTAGAAACAGCCTGGGCCAGAACATGATAACTCCTTTATGTCAAGTGATATGTACTTTTCATTAACTATATAATGAGCCTTTCCTCTCTTATGCGATCATTAGGCTTCAATATTTCTTTCTTATGTTTTTCCAGCAGCCAAATGACGAAGGATCAATAGAGTCTATGAACCTAAAGAGACTGGCAACGATCAGGGACTTCTGCAGAAGGAATAATAAAACCAACGAGTCCCTGCAGGATATCTCGAAACTTAACATCATCGTTAATGAAGAGTATAAAATATTATTTTGCTACATTCCAAAAATTGCTTGTACTCAATGGAAAAGTGTCATGGCAAGTCTTTACGGTCCACAACTTAGGTACCCTGGGATTCACGATGCAAGAAATTTTAATTTTCTGAGTAATTATCCAGCAGATGAAGTGAAAAGGATGCTGAAAACATATTTTAAGTTCGTGTTTGTTCGAGAACCTTTCGAGCGGCTTTTATCTGCTTACTTGGATAAATTCCTACGAGGTGAACCCGCCTTTCACCATAATTATGGAAAACGCATTATTACGCTGTACAGACCGGGAGGTAATCCAGAAGATAAAAACGTCAAATTCGACGAATATTTAAACTATGTTCTACACATCGGGGACGGATACTGGAACGAGCACTGGCAAACTTACAACAACCTCTGTCAGCCCTGTGGTATTTCTTATGATTTCATTGGACACTTCGAAAATCTTGAAGAAGAGGCTCAATATGCTTTGGAAATATCTGGTGTAACAAAAAAGGCGAATGTCTCATTTCCTTCGGTCAAACCATCGCTAACCTCATCACAAGTTCCATTTTTCTACAAACAAATCCACAAGGAGCGGCTTTACGGAACTATGCAGTTATTTGGACCAGACTCTGAAATGTTTGGATATGACTTGCCAAAATCATTTTATAAAATCATTTCTGAACTCAGCCAGCAGAACAGAACGAATGACGATCCCTAATAAAAGTTGTGGAAAGAGAAGAATGGTAGGAATCGCTCAATAGAGACTTTGGTATTGGGCTCCGCATCTTGGCTTTAAACACGAGAACTCCGCAAAGAAAACATTCCCATAATAGTTCATTCCCTACCTCTGGGGCAAGTTTCTTCCTTAGGTGATGAAATGGAGTGCCAAATAAATGATTTTGTTCTGTTCAATCGCATTTTTTATTTTTTTCATGTACTGTAGATAAACTGGCACTGACTGAAATCGAGAACTTTCGACACCAACAATTATTTACGTACATCATATTCAGTTTTAGGAACCATGCAGTTTCCTAAACTGATAGCTGTTCAAATTGCAAAAAAATTATGATAACTGTAATAATAATAAAAGCAATAATAATAATGATAATAACAATAACCACGTTTATTTTTGAACTTAATTCAAGGTTTCCGTATCTTTTAATGTGACAGTAACTTCTCATCGTTTAAATCCTGTGTGGGGCACTACGAATTTCCTTTTTCACATTCCCGCAAGTACTGAATCATCAATTTACCCACAGTCACGAATTCCTGGAAGAGGAGGGTTGAGGCGCGCGGAAGAAGGGGGGAGGGTTCCTACTTACGTTTCACTTGCATCAAAAGGTGGAAATAACGCGTCACAGATAATCAGATAAACAATTTTATAGTCCATGTATCGCCGTGAAAAGCATCTCGCAATAACCCCTTTCTTCCTTCATTGAAGGATGCGCTTCAACCTTTACAACAAAAAACTGTCTTTGCGTACTTCATGTATTCACGGCGAAAATACTTGGTTATTGTTCCATAGACTATGGGATGGACACAGGCATGCAAATATGCTGCTATGTCAGCCATTCTCAGGAAAATGTTCCAGAATTCCTTATCTTTATCGGCTCCAAAGTCCGTCATGAGCCAGGCGACTTGGATTGGCAACATACAGAGAGCAAATAATATTACAATCAACCCCATCATCTTGATAATTTGGAGATCTTCTTTTCTTCTCGCCTCTAAAGCAAACCTATCCTGTGCGTTGATATCATGCCGCTCTTTCGCTTTTCCTAAGTCGATTCCAATCAACATGTAGGCGCCCGCAATGATTGTCAGTGGTAGCATATACTGCAGTGTAAAAAGGATCAATGTGTACACGCGGCTTTGATAAGGTTTCCAACTCTCTCGGCATCCTCCAGTCTCGTCATTTTCAGCCACGATCACGAGCGGAAGCAAAAGCAGACAGCCAGCGATCCAAATAACAATGATCCAAGCGATGACGTGTCTATGACGCATTTCCGGTTGTAGGGAATTGACGATGACGCGCCAGCGATATACAGCCATGAATGTCAGTGTAAAAATACTGACGTTGAAGGTGGCTGTCATAAGAGGAGAGACAATCTTGCAAAAAAACACCGGAAAATTGATTCCACCAAGGAGAAAAGTATTCAACGGTAGAGACAAAAGCATCAGTGTTAAGTCAGATACCGATAAGTTCAAAATAAGGAGATCGTTCACCGATTTTCGCTTTCTCTTCCACAGTACCAGGGGAACAACAGAGTTTCCTCCGACGGCAACAGTGAAAGTAATCACGTATAAACCAAGTTTGATGTATTTCTCTGTCTCAGTAACAGTGGAAAAATTTGTTGGGTGACCCATTGATGTCTGTATTCCGCGCGATTTCAAATACAATTTTACGACTTGTAGCCTTAACCTTTCCCAACAAATCAGTTTGTTCCGTGCATCTTCTGGTAGGGTTTTTGCACAGACTTAATCTGTTTAGATCAGCGCATAGTGATGATACTACACTGGAAAAAAAAAATATTAAAAAATATTTCAAAAGTCAATTGAAAAAATTCTCAATCAAAAGGAGACGCGGATATTTCAATAACCAAACAAAGATAAGGTCGTGAAGGCATTTTCCAGACACCGTTAAAAGACACCATGCAGTCGTTTTTTTTTTGTTTTTTTTTGTTTTTCAAGAAATCATGTAGGAGTTGGTCGATCTTTGGTTTAAAACGTTTATAAGAAAATTCCGTTATTCTCCCTTAAAGACAGACCTTGTAACAGTAATGAGTACACAGTCAGGCCGGATGAAAACATACTATGTTGATCTTGTTCCATCATCACTTCAAAACAATTCTACACAAAGGAAACGCCAAGCCCCTAAAATGATTCATAGCTCATCGGGTTCTGATTCTAAGCATAAAGCTGGATGTTTCCGTTCTAAAATTAATTTTTGCAATAAATTTTTAGCAGTGACTTCGGTCAATAAAATTTTTAAATCTTCGCTACTAAAGACCGCAAATGGTTATTAAAACTGTGATTCCAGCCAACATCAGCACACACTTTCTAAGCATTAATTCAGAAAGTCAAATTGAAAAGGTGAGTAAAAGCACAACATACCTCTCTGTAGTTTAAGTCAAGTTTAAACTGTTAATGCAGCTTCGTGACTTCGTCGCTGATGCCTTCAACGATAAAATGGAACAAAACAATCGGGCTTCTCTTTTATTAATAAACTGTTTTCTACTAACCAATACGACTGCAGTTCCATTATTAAATTCAGGTGTAGTATCAACATAGTTAAAAATGTTTTCCCCACTATAGCATCTGCCGATTCTTTATTTATATTGTGTACATGACGCACAGATATTGAGGTATTTTATGTTTTTTATGCCTAGATAAGAGCATTATTTTTTTTCTGCTAGATGAGAAGTTATTACATTTTTTCATTACGTTGCCCGTGTTACGCAAAGAACAAATATTACATCTTAAGTTTTATGTAGCTAAAGGCAGTGAGGTGTTCAGTCGTACAGTAGCTGAAACCTCAAAGTCTACAATTATTTTCCGGCAAGTTTTTCCAATACTTTTTCTTGGAAAGTGATGTTATTTTCTTTGGCCCGGATAGACATTAATTTCTTTTGAGAACAAGCATTCAAACATTCCGAGTAGAAAATTAATTCGCTGCAGTCATAGCCTAAGAAAAATATAAATAAACATCAATAAATAGAGAGATCTTACGAATAAAAATAAAATTTATGAGCTAAATTCACCTTAGAAGTTAGAAGTCATGACATATCTCTCACTAGTTTTATGAGATCTAACAGAATCGTGCGTTAAAGCAAATGTCGCCGCAGCTTCTCATGTCATCTCAGACAAATGACCAGAGGGATTTCCGATGAACATTATGCAAAAAGACTCTGATTTCGTGTTGAATTAAGCTCTTATCCTTTGCCTCAGGGGATAAGAATGTAAAATAAGGATGTTATCTTTATTGCCAACCGGACACTGAATGTCGTAGTTAGCAAATGAAAAGAAAAATGGAAAGTGTATTACGATGCCTCGATGATCATTATAAATTTATTAATAAAATGTGGTGATAGCAAATGCTTCTACAACGTATTATCACATGAAAGAGGTAAAATTTCTTATATAATTGAAGTGTTCAATTGAAAAAAAGAAAAACGCGTCGAACTTGTCTTGAGAAAGTGATGGTAGTAACGTTTTTTAGCAAACAATGAGTGGAAATAACAACTATTAATCGGAGGCATCGTTTGCAGTGTATTTGAGTTTACCACTCAAACCTCGACTCTTGGAATGGTATGAATAAATTCAGTGATATGAGAAATACTAGCTGGTGACAAATAAAAGACGAAAGGAAAAAGTTCATGTCTGTCTAGAACAAAACCGACTCCTTCATTAAGAGTTAGGCTAACTTGCTGACGTTAGCAAAACAAAGAACCTCACTTGACGTTTTAGGCTTTCAAAAGCATACACTCGAGAGACCAACAGAGAATTGTTGCAAATTATTAATTTTTTTTTTGTTTTTTTTTTTAACTAAATATAACATTTTTCATTCTGGTTACTTTAAAAGCTGCTAATGGATAGGTTACTTAAACGCATTTTCTTGGTCTGAATTTTTTTTCCAGTAGACGTTTTTAAGGAACTTTAGGCTCGAGGCGCAAACTTGTCAAAGAAATGTATATGCATGGTTTCTAGGAAGCTCTTCATGTGGATTGCGCGAGTCGTGGGCGCTGTTTTTTTTATCAACAGGAACTTCATTTGATGAAAGCCACTGTAACCATTTCAACGTTAACTCTATACAAGGATAAAAAAACTTAAACAAAACCTTACTAACTTACTTTACCGATACTAGGCTCCCTGCATAAAAACTGAAGCGGCTTTTATTTTTGTCATCGGAAATAGTCTCTAAAAATATCATAATATTGGACTCAGAGATGGTTAAATTGAGATTTACGGAAAGCCAGGTTTGGAACACAAGGTACTGAGACAAATTCGCCTTTGAAGTCGTCAAATAAGCACCGTGATCAAGCAAATTACTAAAGAACTAAAATTTATCCGCAGATATTTTCGCATGGCTGCAAAATGTCTAAATGAAAATTTTAGGTTGCCTGAGTAAAATGGTATGACTGTATCACAAAATACATGGTCTATCATGTTCACGCGGATCACGCAAAATCACATAAGTTGTGTGCCCGCTGGGTATTCTGCATGGCATAACGAGCACAAGGGGTTCTTTAGGAAAGTCTTTAAAGGATGAAGAATGAAAGGATGAAAAATTGAGATTTAGCCACGATTCAAGTTTATGCCTCTAAAACATTAAGGCGTGTTTTTTGAAGGAGCTAGCACTACTGCGCAACATTTACAGTCGTATGAACAGCCGTCTGGTTTGATTTCTGTGCTCTAGGGATCCAAGATGGCGGAAAGAAAGCTGAGTGTTCGCTCGCCCTGAACTATGGCTGATTTGAAAGTTACTTGATGAAGCCCTAAATGAGCAAACAGGCTGGAAAAAAACGTTTCCAAGGTTAAACTGTTGTGTAAAAAATAAATAACGTGGACTTTGCATGAAAGCAGTAAAGCTGAAAATTGGGCTGTAACATCCGAAATCGCTTTGTTAAAAGCTACACTCCTATTCAAAGGAATATGAATTTCTTTTTCCACATTTTCCTTGTGTCACCGACTCTAAAAAAGGTCATCATAAACAGTCACAAAGTTAGATAAGCATCACATTCGTCTCAATTTAATGAGCGCTTGTAAATTTCTTTTCCGATCAATGATTAAAATTTCATTCATTTCTCTGTTGTCACAGAGCGAACAAAAAAACTTTTTCATTTTTCTGAAATGAAGAAAACAATAACACGGTTGCTGTGGGTGGAATTAATTACCTTTTTTTTTTCTCCAATTAATGCTATTTTTTTTACAAAAATAGAATAACTCAGGGTCCATTTTTTTAAGTTCACAAAGCAGAATTTGATTTGTTCAATAAAATCTACGACACATCATTCGTCAAAGTGCTGCATTTCATTCTCGACGTAAAAAGTATGTGACCGTGATTTTAATGAGTTTGATTACTCAACTGAACACTCCAATAAAAAGTAGAAGAAAATTCCCTTTTATAAGTCTTTTGTGTTTCACGTAAATAAAACTTATTTATCTAAACTTGTACAAAAAAGGCCAGAGTTTTACTCGATTAGAAAATCATCAGATTTCTATCACTGCGTGACATTGCAAACTTTTATATAAATGTTTAAAAATATGTTCAGATATATTTTCTTGATTTGTTTCGTGTTTCTCATCAGATCATGCTCAGTAACTTAATTTTCATGACTGAACATTGTCTAACGCACGTAATATTTCAAGCCCAAAGAAAGAGTTGGGAGTTTCAAAAAAATCTCATCAGGATGAAGGTAAAGCTTGATCTTATCACCTTCAATCAACCGAACATCACTTACTTTGGTGATTAAAAACGTGAAGATGTTTTGCTTTAACAACTGGGTATTGCGCCTCGCTTTCATTTGCTCAAAATTTCAGCTGAGATGAAACTATGCTTCTCATGGAAAGGTTAGCGAGATGGCTGTTAAAACCGAGTCGTAAGGTAACTACAATCCTAACCTGGTAAATAAAATAGCAATAAATGAATATGTAAACAACTGAATCCATGAGCTGTAAAGTGATGTTGATGAGTGCCTTCACCTGCGTTTTATAATCGGGATGACCCCCTTGTGCGACTGCGTGTGTACACAACACAATTCCTTTTGACTGGGTCATTCTACTTAAAGAGTTTTTATAATATTTTTGAGGCTTCCTTTGACTTTTCCGAGCACGAAAAACGTGATGCGAAGATCTTCATCCCCAACCCAAGTCAGTATTTCACAAATGAAAATTTGTCATTATAAATCCCTGCTGTCGTTTCACAACGGCAAACGATTTATGGGGATATGGGATTTACGTTATCAACTCAGTTGATAATACCAAATTACCCTGTTCTGCTTACTCTCCCACCGACGCAGCACAACAGTTTCTTTAGGAACTTACTCTTTTTATTCTTTTATTGGAATAGATTTTAAAAGCGTCATAATGAAACTCTGATCCGAGACCAAGAAACGACTTATTATATCTGCAAACCTCTGTTGGAGTCTGTTTATATTAAGGATATCGAAAGATCGCGAATATGAGCGAAAAAAAAGTAAACAGTAAATCATACGTGGTACGTCAGTCGAAATTGATGTATGGTGTGGCCGGAATAATTCCATGCGACGCTTATGCTCAATGTCATTTGAATTTTCATTGAATTTTTACATTTTAATTTTAACTTTAGTTCGTTCTGTTATGTCCAATCTAATTCCCAACGTAAAAATAAAACTTCCAAAATCAGCCCGATTTAAGATGGATGAAGTTATCAGAGACAGCGTCGTCATAGGACATTTTTGTGACAAACAGAATTACCTTTAAATTTAAATGTCAACCATGAAACAAAAATACTAACGAGGCATTGAATGATAACAAGGGTATTACGGGAAAAAAAAATTAACTGAAACGGTTTCCAAACAACGAAATACAAAAGATACACGAAATGTTTTCAAGATGTTTAAAAGTGACGTGAGTGCTTTACACTTAGCTTTGCGTTTGGAGGAAATTACAAATTTAGCTGGTCACTTCACTTAGGTTGTTTGCCAGCATGTAGCCACGAAATTTAAATTTCGACGCTCAGAACCCTCTCTAATTGACCACGTCAATTTTCTATTTTGCGCTATGGTGAATTCTTAACGCAAGATTTTCTCTTAGTCAGTGCTTTGAGCACGCTAAAAAAGTAAAATAAAGGAAAAAAAGTTACGTGCTGTAAATAGATGTTTCTTTCAATTCTGTGCTGCATAGAAAAGTGTCAAACTTAACATTTGCGAAATGACGTAAATAAATGTTGACAATCTCTTTATTTCTTTGCTAATCTCAGGGCTGATGAGGTTTGACAAATTTACAATGGTGATAATACCTCTGTTTGTTCAACAAATATGTTTGTTGACGCGAGTGCCGATTAATAGTACCAATCTACCGTCGATCCATCACTTTTTCATTGCAAAAGTACACTAAGTGTTCGCTCTTCGTGCAGCTCTACCAAGATCTTACTCTTATGATTTGAATTAGAAGGTATGTATTGTGTGATTTTGTTAACACCTAAAGTTTGTGAGAAATGTTAGCAATTCTTCTTCAGAAAATATCAACCGAATTATTCACCTCAGACGAAAAGCAGCAAAATCACAGCCTTTCTCCTTGTCACGAAATTAAGTTTTCGAAATAACGCTTCTGTCTCTGGGCTATTTGCAGTCTTTGACTTCGAAAATACGAAATATTTCGAAGGTTAGTCCTAAAAAAGAGATAATCTTTAAGATCTTGATATTACATCATTCGCGATGGCCCCCGAGTTCGCTTGGAAATCATAATATCCTGTGATAAGATAATACTCTATGTTGATCTTATGACTACAGTTCACGCACACACTTCGATATTTTACACCGATTTGCATGTAGATTCATAGATTTATCTGATTTGCAATGGAGATTAGTTTTAAGAGTGTGAATAATGCAACACTCAGATCAGCGTAAAAACCTATTTGGTTATTTAACAAAATATTCCTTGGTATTCATAGCAATTTAAACACGGAGAAAACTGTTTACTAAACATGAAAAATAAAATAATCTGACTCATCAAAAAAACGGAAACAGATCTATTTTGTTTCATCTTATTCTCATAACAACCGCTTGTTATAACAGGACCTGCCACTCAACATTATACAAGTGTGTGCGTGTGGAACTGTTTAAACATTGTTATTGTTTTCAAAATATTTTTCGTGATCCCACGAAGAAAAAGAAAGCTTGAGATGCCGAAAAGACCGGGAAAAATTGATTTTGTTCTTCTAACTATAGCTAAAAACCACAGATTTCGAAGATTTCAAATTTTATGAAAGTGAATGGACAATTCAAATCTTTAAAAAAGTCAAAATCACGTCAACCTGTTG